CTAAAATGTAGTGAACTGAGTTAGAATTTTATATTAATAATAACTTCTTTGATTTACCGAAAATTTTTCTATAACTTTCTTTTCACCATTTCATAGTGTTCTTTCACAAAATTTTGATCCACGCTCATCAGTCATAAGCCAGTCAGTCTTTACTCTCCCAGAGTGCTCCTAAGCCAGGTCTTCACTCTTTGAAGCATACTACTACTGAAGGTAGAGTTAATTGGCTGTTCTATGAGATATGGGATTTAGCCAGTGAGTTAAAAAATAGAAGAGGGAGGTAAGGTACTGATAGGTGATGAACGAATGCGGTAGGGGAGGTTGATGGAATGGGTATGAGTATAGTGAAAAGAAAGGAGTAGTTTGGGATTTCAAACCTGACACGCATCGTAATTAGTTACAAATTACAGCTGTAAAAGGTATTAATTACAGTGTGCCATTTCGATGAGTACAATCGATGATACAAAACATTACGCGCCAGTATATAACTACAGACTGAAAATGACACTACAGAATTTGCAGCAACCCTAAAGCATTGATACAATTGGCGTGTTTACAGTAGGTATTCCCGATGATACCAGTCCTCCAATACTGACACATTTAGCACTATCATCTATGGGACAGAAGCAGATCACAAACCGAGCTTGGCGTCCACTGGAGGTAGGACGATCATGAGAATTCTCTAAAGACTTCGAAGCATGCTGATAAATATGTAGTGCATTGAATAATGCTTAGAATTGTCAATAATTGCCAATGATTTTCACATGGCAGAAAAAAATATTTGTTTCGTTAAACAGGTCATTTTTTAACTTCTATATCCGTTAATTTGTCTTTTGGTAAGTCAGGCCTTCTATACTACAAGTGAGTGGGCTAGAAAGCCTGGAACCATCTCGTGTATTACGCGTCGCAACTAGAAGCTTCTAGAACCAGGTTTATAAACATATTTATAGACGTTGCTAGAACATTTCAGAAATTAACGAAATGTAAGTCGCAGTTCTGCTTCTCTGCAACTCTTTTGCTGAACGATTAGTGCAAAAAAATTAGTGTTTGCTCTTGGAATTGTCAATGATGCAAATTGAGTTTTAATAATTTAAAGTTATTAAATGTAATCGTTTGCTTTTTATTTTAGTGTAAATAAATACTATAAATATATCTGATGAAAAATTTAACTTTTAACAAATTCTGGTCTATATTGTTTCCATTACAGTCGTCTGGAGATGCTGTCCTTAAAACTATTCCCAGACAACTAAGAGGAATAATTGCCCTTTCAGCCTCTCTATTATGCATTCCTGTAAGCAATTTATTTCACCTTATAAGATTGCTTTATTTTTTTCGTTTTTGTTTGTTGCTGATAAAACAAACACATTTCTGTAAGTCCGAGTGTGACAAAATAGGTCTTCTATTTTTTCTTTAAGATTTAGGCATTGTATTATTTGGAAGAGTCCATGCTTTATAGTGTAGCCAACTTATAGATAAATTTTTAAGAACTTTCGTACATAAAGCTGTACAGATCATTTTCGTGCCTTGTCTTAATATTTTTTTGTATATTTATTTATTTATCTTCATACCAACGCCTGAGGCCGTTTATTCTACAGGAGTCTTCTGTTAGGAAACACCTAACCTAACAGAAATCGATCAGTAAATAATATATTACGCTAACAGATGGCGCTAAACGTACCAATCCGATTTGAAAATTATATGAGGTTGAGAATCCATTGATTATTTCTGCAACGTTTTTATGTATTGCACACAAAAGCATATTCTGTTTTAAAAAAAGTTTTATAGAAAGAAATGGAATATACTTAATTATTTAATTGCACAAATAGTATTTTAAATGCATAATTTTGACAGATATCGTGAAAAGGATCATAAAATTAAAACCGACAATCATTCTTAAAATTTCTATTTTTTGCATATCTATACACTTACGCACGCACATAAACACATATTTGCTGCAGAGATTTTCTCATGACTTCAAACAATCCCAGAAAATTCTTTTCCTTTTCCATCTGTTATAACACAGGAAAAGTACGGCGATCGATTAAAAAGTCACACTCAATATTTTTACATTTTTGTACTCGGAAATGTGGAAACGTGGTGAAATGCAGAAAAATTTCTAGGATTTTTTTCTGTGTTTAACAATTGGTAGGTTTCTGGGGGAACAATTTGCTGGATTTTTCTATACAGCGCGAGCTCGTTATAGTAGTTTTTATCAGACGTTTCAACATTCTGGCAATATTTTATATGAACACGCATTTTAAGAGTCTGATGATTACGAGTTTTCCGATTTACATCTGGACTGCTGCACAATATAGGCGATCTGACTGAACAATGGATAGCGATTATAGATCTTGTGGCTACGCATTTTACCTTTTGTACCTTGTGGTGACATTACGCTTTCGATTTATCATAATTCTCTTTCACTTTTATGCGCTTTAAATTACATTGATTAAAATTAAATTTATTTTATTTACAAATATAATTTAAAATTTTATTCTACAGTTTATGGCTCGAATCTAAATCCTACTCAGGCAGACTGCGAGGCTCAAACCCTGTCACTCTCAGACTCGAAAGATACAGGCTTGGTTTTTTTTCCTCTTGTCAGCCTTTAACGAAACTGAAAACATCTTCACAGTGAATATCAGTTTATTTATCCATCCATCTATTTTCATCCATCTACCAATTTATTTATTTTGTCTGTTTTCGCATCGTTACTCTAAAGGATGTAAAGTGTTTGCAGTGTTTCTGAAAAACTTTGCTGTTTAAATATGGATATGAAATCCGCAATTTACGAAAATATAGAGATCGCGACAAATAGCACAGGCATTATTATTTTACCTCATTAGTAGTAGGGTACAATGAGCACATACATTAGAGCTGAATTTTCTTTATTGTGCGCTACTGTCAATAATTTGTGCCCAATTTCATAATCATTTTGATATATCTCTCAAATAACTAATACATTTAAACTTACTTTTTCTTTAAATTCCACAGATTGAAGAGCAAATGCGTATTCTATCAACGAAGCTGTGACGAAAAACATACATGCAAGCAGCCAAATATCCACAGCTTTTACATAGTCCACTGGCGGAGTGTACGATCTAGACTGCAGCATTTGAGTGATGATGGTAAGAAGAGAGGTAACACCGAGCGTAACACGAGCGGGAACTGCATTCACATCTAACCAGAATGATAGCCAGGACATAGTTACTACTAGAGTACTAGGCAAGTAAACGTTGAGTATACTACCAGTTAATCGCCGAATGAAAGTAAATTTCGCATACAGATAACTGTAATTACCTGTAAACAAAAAGAATTATCTCTATAAAACTAATAATAACACAGTTTTATAAGTAATTTGTAAGAAAACTTTCCAGTCGTCCAAACTTCGATTTTGCTACGAGGTTTGGGTACCTTCATCTCGTGTTTCAATGGTTGAATGTCTTCCATTAGTGCAATACTTGGTCCCAAGTACTTACATGGACTACTGTCAACATCACACCATTCCAGGCGTACCTTTTCTGCTGTATTTTTTACTAAAAAATTGCATAATAGAGCGGGAATACCTTCAATATAGAACACAAATATAAAGTTTTAAAGTAAAATTTTATACTATAAATACATTGTTGTACTTATTCAACTAAAAAATAGTTTACTGCAAGAAAAATTTTACACTCTTAATTACTCAAATATATGACTTTCTATAATAAATACAAATAACTCGATAATTCTTTCAAACGGAAAGCTGAATTCGTTTTTTGGGCTATTAATGATAAATAAATACTAAGCAATTTGGTACGAGGTATGACTCAGGACGGTCTATTATATTTAATAACAGATAGCAATTTTGCAGCCTGCCACCTGCCAAATTACATAGCAATTATTTAGCTTTAATAGAAAATAAAGGAATAGGACTGTTTGTATGATATATGGCTTTCTCCGTATATTTTAAAATATCTGTGGCCGGCCTTTATATAATTTATTACATTTTTATTAGACCCCATTATCATGATTCATAGTAAATACACGTTAAATCAATTATTAAATTTACTTACACAAACCAATTTTAAATACGCAGTCTTGAATATCAAGGGGATAACGATGTAAATCCATAGGGCATGCCACACGAAAGCTATATCTATTGGAAGAAAAATTACGTATTTATCATTTTGAATAATAAAATTTATTACTTGTTTTAGTTGAAGCTTCTTCAAAAACATCCAGAATGTCCTACCGACGAAGAAAGAAAATGTCATATTCAGAAATTCAAAATAAATAAAACTTAATATTTTGATCTATTTTTTCATTATTACATTCTCCACTGTTGTATTTAACAGAGGGAAAGTATAGAGATAGGTCAAAACTGATCATTGAACAGTTTTCATTTTTTAATTATTAATATAAAAGATTTTCATAAAATATCAAATAAGATGGCGTCACAACAGTTTTAAATGTACTGTAGGGAAAGTTACTCAACTGGTTGCAGAATAAATTCTTAGATGTAGCCTTAAAATTGGTTTCTTATTTTTAAACTACTTGTATATAAATAATTTTATCTGCAATCTTAAATAATAATAAAGTTCTTATCTATATAATTTAATAGCCTAAATTTAAGTACTTTTAACTGGCAAGCAGGCCACGAAACAGGCTATGGTCTTGGATTGCTTATTTACCTGCAGTGTCGTAACTAGTTTTTCATGTGTTTCTGTGCAAAATTTTATTTTTTGCCTTTTTTTTCTTTTGGCACATACCAAGTTACGGTTGCTCTTTCGTGTGTTACTTATAAGCACATCTTTAATTTCAATCTTACCTTGTGCTTTTTCGAAAGATAAGATCCTTAGTTATTAAAATGAAAGTATTCGGAATGGAATATTGGAAAAGATAACCCCATTTAGTGTTGTCAAACATCAAATCCGGAACCCACAGAGTGTCATCTGCGGAAGGAGGAAGTATCTTTGACAGTGTTAAATTAAGAACTTCGAGTTTCAATCTAGGATCTGTCCAATACGCATTCAAAAAGAAGAACATACGAAAGTCCTGAAAGTGAAAAAATATTTCTATGTATTTTTATGTATATGCTAATATTAACGTCAGAACACAACAGCAATGACGTGACATTTACCATTGTCTGCTCTCGTATTTCATCCACATCCATGATTTCCAAATTGATATAAATAGTAACAGGTTTACCTTAAATTAAATAGATTAATTTAAATTATGTTAATATCATTTAAAAATTGGCGTACGATTCACAGAACTGATAATAAAAATTATCTCATATTTATTGCAAATTAAATTATATTACGTGAGCCTTAAAATTATCTTCGGCGTGCTTCTGTGACGGAATGAATGAAACCACTCAAGACGCGGTTGGTCGCGGGTTTGCTGCTTAACTATGGGCTGACAATATGAAGTTTCTCCAGGTTTTCTTGTCGTGTCTAATACCTAAATACAAAGTCCTGTCGAGAGGGTCACTTTTGGCAGATCGCTCGTGTGTTGCATTGCCATATCCCATCAAATCATTCATCCCCATGGATTTTCAAGTGGAAAAGATACCAGCTACATCCAAATACTATATAATCTAATACACGAAATGCCAATTTTGACAATTTATTAGTGTATAGAAAGTTCCCATGTTTGACATTAGGTTCCCATAGATTAATTGTCATCTATAGATTAATATATTAAAAATAATATTAACATGCGGAATAAGTAAAAACCGCTACGCTATTCCGCGTCGTTAGTTGGCAGGGCAGAAGCTATTCGCATTGCATGTCTTTGATGTTGAGGTGTTTCGTGTATTAGCATATATAATACTTGTTACATCACTCTTACCTCCTCCATTTTCGATCGAACTCGACATAATAAATATTTCCATCTTCAATTTTGAGTGGCCTTATTATATGCAATTTATAAATTTAAAATGTTATATAAATCATGTATAAAATTTTATTTCAATAATATCTTAATAATATACTAAATTATGACATTTCGTCACGCAATGGTATCATTTAGTGTTTCACTTGTATTTAATCAATATCTGATAATGCCTTTTAAGCTGAACAGAAACAGAAATTTAGAAATCATAAAATTCATATCGTTTTAAAAGCAAACAAATTATAGTAATTTAAAGTATTTATAAAGCTTGGTAGTATAAATCTATATCTATATCTATATATATAAATGGACGTGTGTGTCCCTATATTTCACTTTTTCAGCCAAAATTACACATCGCAAATGAATGGTGTTTGTATCTGGTAGTAGCCCCTAGTCTCCATTCGTGTACTATGGTAGTTGCATCTCGATAGCTATAAGGGTGCGGGAGATATGGGGCTGAAAGTGGTTGAAAGTGGTTTCTATTTCGAATTCTATGTTCGAATTTGTTCGAATTTAATTCGAACATAAAATTCGAGTATTGGTTCGATTATAGAACGTTTGTAAACGTTCCAGAAACGTTGAAAAGAGTTCATTTGACTAGACGTAAATAGGAGACGTTTAGAAATAGAATCGGGACCAGATCTCTAATTAGTCTGGAAACGGGGGACCTAATTCTTGCATTCTGTGAAAACGGGTAAGATTGGCTATAATGTAATTATCTTAATCTTCACTATCGTTACTTTTTGCCCACAAATAAAAACCCAGCGAAGCGGGTCCTTGCAGCTAGTCATTATATAAAATCATACTGATTATTATGAAACAAGTGCACGCGAGTAATACTTAATAGTTTGTTTTAGTTTCATGCAATACATTAAAGCAACACATCAGCGATCTGCTAAAAAGAGTCTTTCTTGTGAGTAATTTCTATGGGAAACTGATCACTGTTTTTAAGCGCGTGGAGTGAAGAAAATCGGAAAAAATCTACGTGGCAGCTCGTTGTTCAAGGAAAAATCTATGACTAATGTTATGAGCTTGAACATTGGTGGGAACATCTTAATGGTTCAGATTTATGCTTATAACTTTGATGTTTTATATTATCGTGGAATTATTAACAAACATGTCCTATATGTCGCAGAGACAAGACCCGACACATTTCAGATATGTATGGCCCTACAATCTGTAATATGTCGTGATCCCGTCTTACCTAGAGTGGGCTATCTTCTTGGAGCATTAAAATTTCTCTCTTGCAACAAGACCAAGTGTAAAAATTTCGATTTCAACATCTGTTCAGTGTTTGTACCAATTAAAAGATGATAATTATAAATATTTTCTTACCATCAACAAGTGGAGGCGCGTAATTATCATAATCAGTAGGTATTATATTCATCCAACTGCGATCCAGTTCGACACTAAAATGAAAATAATATTAATTAGTCACTTTAATTTTGTATTTATAGAGCTAAGAACAACACATAACTATTATTTTATTCCAATCGATTTAATTTGTTTGTTTAATAATGCCAGACAGCAACATATTTGTGTTGTATTACCGGAGAGGCAGACCCCATTGTGAATTAGCCTCATTTATAATATAATCTGTTATATGTTAGTGTTTCGTTCATACACATGTTTAATTACTTTTACCAAAATGAATAGAAAGTTCCTGCATTTACTACAATTTTCTTTAAAAGACTTTCATGTGAGGTTACGTGATAAAGAAATATTGCATACTGCTTTTATAATGTCATTACAATTATCTGTTATGTGGAACCTTCTGTTCCACATAACAGATAATTGAAGTTAATGACAGTAACAGACTAAAGGCAAAAACAGATTTCTGTGTCGAACATCTTGAAAATTCTACTATAAATATAGTCTTCTTTATCATTCCTTACTTCTTTCGTTTCTCATTTTTTTAGTTTATTTTTATTGTTTTCTTTTTACAAATATCTTGATCACAGGCCCGGGAAGCCCGCGCATAAAACTTGTCCTGTTCATAAGTCAACAGCGATTCCTTATTCCTTTTATAAATTAGTATAGTTCCTATCTCATGTTTTTCTTTACTGTCAAGGCCTCACATTTTTGAACACTAATTGAAGTATTTATTAATACGAATAAATAGAGTGTTAGAGCTTTTATCGACATTGGTACAAATCCCATTTAAGTTGCGATACATTTTATAGACTATAATTTTTTATAATTTAACTCGAGTTTTTGTACACTATATTGATTTGAACTACATTTAAAGTAACACGCAACGTATTAGGCGCAACATGCGAGTATCGACTGATAGTATCTAAACTGAAGAATTATTGTTTCGACAAATAATACGCAAGTGTAATACAACCGCAATTAACAATGCTACAATTATAATTTGTTTAAAAAAATAATAAGTTATAGAACAGTTATTTGCATGATAATGATACAATAGCTCACGTGTAATTGTTCTCATCACCTCGACACGACATCAATTAATAATCACCGCTCGAACCTAATCGATATGACCTTATAACTTCACAGTTAATTAAAATCGAATGATAACTAAATTATACACTGAGAAAATAAATTCTAGAAATATACAGAATGAAAAATCGATATGGCTTTGTTCCGTTCAGGTAAAATTTTATATTAATGAGAGAATTAAGTTTCCATAGTTAGGTTGTTGGAAAGACTATCTGCCAGAGACACCTGCATAAATGCGCTCATTAAATAATGTTATCATTCGATTTTACGAACTCCGTTATAAATGATTTTAAAAAAACAACAGAACAGGTGTCTTGTCCTAACTACTTTCGATCATATTTTCGATTTAGGTAACTAATAACAACGAGAGATTTATGTTGCATACTCGAAACTTCGATATAAAAGCGTGACAATTGCATCCGATAGTAGTTACTATTGATACCGAATTCGTAAGTTTCGAGGTTCCACCCGGGATGCTTAAAATTGTTCGTGTTTCTCGTGTAACACACCATATTTACTTTGCCACGTGTTTACAAAAACGATTTGGTACTAATCACAATAGGTGGAAATAGCTTTTGAAAATATCGGTTTGAAATATGTTCTAAATATGTCGTTTATTTCCCTCTTACAGTGCGTTTTCTTTGCGTTCCTGTTCCCGTATTACACCATTACATCGAGGACATTCTGAAAACTTCACATAAGAAACTCAAACACTGCAACAGTCAACTATAGTAGCCAATTATTAGTTGAACAATAGATTACACATTCATTTCTTACAACGGACAACAAAAGAAAGCAGTCTTTAAGCATCTTATGTTTACTTCGACAACTTATTACACTGATTTATTAATTTAGTTATTAAATTATTGATAATAGAATTTTAAAATAGTTTAAGAAAAGTTATTACCTTCGACCGAAGTGGGTTAAGCACAAAACGATGCAAAGCAGCAGCACAATTGTCATCACTATCAAATGCCATCAAGTCACTCAGACTTACCGGCGTGCACCGTGACTTTTATTGCACGTTTATTATTGATCAAAACAAAAATATATTATGCGAGTTGTAATTTTTTTACACGAAATGTACTTAAGCAATAAATGGCGCTTACTTTGGACAGTCATGCATAAAACAAAATTATGCATGACTGTCCAATTATGTTTTTTCTTTGTTACTGATTAGATTTTAACCCTTCCATCTCGTGGGCAGTAAGGGTGAGATCTAGTAAGTGATGCACACGTGTAGGAACTTGTTATGGCCCTAATCTAGAACAAAATAGGCTTTATTCCTACACCAAATAATGATATGCTTAAAAACCTGAGGCCATAAAGAGAGACCCGAACTTTAGCTTATGTTCAAACGCGGCCATGCTGTAACTATGCGTCAAAACTGATTTCTCTATTTTAATTGTCTGTATTAAATTTAAATGATATTTGTTTCTGTTTTCCGTGTATACTATTGGTTACCAACAGCTGTTCTTAAGGACATTTAGCTCTGTACACTGAAATGCGGCACGTGATCCGTTGCGATTTTTGGAAGAAAGGAAATAAAGTTTTATATTAAAATTTCATAGAAATATATTTTATAAAATGGTGTATTATAAATTAATTATTTGTGGAAGTTTTTCCTGTAAAGCTTCTTCTGTCAGGATGTTAGGTTAGTGAGGTTCAAGCTTAGCATATAAGTTATACCATAATAAACGAATGTAAAAACGATTACAAAATAACGTGATATATTTTAGTATTTAAGGAGTGACTGATACACGTGTCTAGAAAAACCACTCCCCCTCAAACATTGTTAGAAATTACCCATAAACATCAACAAAAAACTGTTTTCAAGGACAACTAACTATTTGTAGTGTACTGCAGTGTGTGGTATCTAGTTGCAAGTTTGTTATAAGAATAATAAAATGTATCTAAATAATACATAATAAAATAAATAAAATTTTATACAAAAATTTTTATAAATCTATTTTATTATTGTTATATATATTCAGTACATATAAAATCAAACGTAAATGTGCTGTGTATAACATTGTATTTTATGATTATTTTTCATTTTTCTTATTATTTGTAATTATTTAAAATATGTCTTTATGTCAATAAATTTATTTTCATTTTATGTTTTGGCATGTTTTTGTTTTTTAATTATATTTAAAGCTTACGTGCGAACAGCAGCTTTCCAGCACGATAACGACTCGTGCAGAGAAGCCATTTTTCAGGCCCCTCTAAACCTGGCTATCCAGAGGGAAAATGCCACTTAGGAACCAATTTTGGCAAATTGAAAAAAATCAAATAAAACTTTCTCAATAGATAGATAATTGTTGTTTTTTTTAAATAATAACGAAAGATTTTTTATCTGAAGCCATTTTTTTAATTAATTTGACATCAAGAGGTTAAGAATTATTCAAGGGACGATCCTTTCGGATACGTAGAGCTAGTTTCTCACTATTGCGGGCTTTACTTAACCCATGATAAGCTTGTATGGAAGATCCTCTGACGCTCTTAAAGTGGAAAACGTTATTAAAAAGTCACTAAAGTTATTAAATAATTTTATATGACAACATGCTAAACTTATACTGTATTTTAGTTTTTAAGATATTATAGTATTATCATATCTTAAAAACTGAAATATTAGTTTAGCATCTTGTTATTGCTGTTTGTTAAACTTATCACAGAATTATATTATCTTTTTCTTCTATTTAGTCTTTTGCTTTTTCTATGCCTCATATGGGATCATAGCTTGTTAAAATCAATACTTGTTATAATAAATCTGACTCTTCTCTTCTTTGTCATATATTTTTATAGAAAATACGTTACGTATAAGTTTAAATGAATGAAAGTATTCTCAAGTAATAAGCGTTTAATTAGTTGATCATACGTATAATCTATAAAATTTCAGAGGTTCATCCTTTCTTTCCCCTCCCTCTTAAATATAGTACTTGTCGTAAACACAATTCATTTAGTATTAGAATAAACTAAATTTATTAGATGATAATCATCTTTTTGTACTTTCTATTGTCTAGAACAAAAGACAATAATGCCGTGCATTCGTGTGGAAACGCACGATATCTGTATAGTCCAAGTGTCCGGCCATTGACAGCAGTGCGATTTTAAACACAAGACATAGTCTCTGAAATCGTGTTGTTATAGGTTTACAATATTATAGTGTTATGAAAAGGAGGTGCATTATCCTGTTAGGGCCTACTACCTAACAGGCCTATCTCTGATACCTGTATAGTTTTTAGTCAGATTGAATAAACACCGCCTTCTGCAGTTTTCTGAATTCAAATTTCGCTTATTGAAACTTTAGGTTTCGGTTTCGGGTCTTATAGAGCTTCTGTGCAGGGCAGTTTTATAGTTTTTGTAGATTCCGCTAACGCGCCATCATATTTTAAGCATTAATTAAAGTAAATTATTTGTGTCACCAGCAGAAAACTTGTCTCAAATTGTGTCGCAGCATTTCTTCAGTTTATAGCTTTATTTTCTTACTTGCATCTTATCGTTATTCTCGAATTGACGTTTCTCATAAGCATAAAAGACAAAGAAGTGAGTCGTCTCTATAAGTTGCTGATGGCAAGCAGACTAAGAGACTGTCGTTACACTATCCTTCGCATTGAAATTCACACGCAATTCTTTTCTTTTTAAGAACAACTAGTTGTCTTAAGTGTATTTAGTGAGTCTTTTTTAACTTTTTATACTTTCAATAATATTATGAAATGGAATTCTGAAATTAAATGTCTCTAATGCTAATTTGACGTAATACATCGCATTTAAAGAAAAGAAAAAGTTTACATTGAACGTTTCTGGACAGTATCTCATGAACGTTTCTCATAAAAGAAATATTTCGTTCATTTTGTATCATCATTTATTACACAAGATGTAAGGGAAATTTTCAGTTATTTTAGAACAGAGAAAACAGCTACCGAATACAGTGAAATGGCACTAAAATAATTCCGGTATATTCTCGATTATCAAGTCATGAGAAATCGCTCTATGGTTCTTTCGGTTTGCAGAATATTGGTCAGTTGGGGAAAGAAAATGTCAAACTTTGCTGAAGTTTTCAGTTTATTTCAAGTTATTAGGTGAGGTCTGTAAATAATATTGCTGTATTGGATTATCCACGCAATTTATTAATTAAGGTAACATTTTATTTATTTATTTCGGTTGATCGAGAGTTTAATGTACTTTGTGTATATAATTTTTGATATTGTATGAACAACATTTGTCTGTTTCGTACCAATCGATATTATTATTATATTTTCGTAAGTAATTTTTATGTCATATAACAGGGCGGTCAAACTGTATTTGATAATATACAGCAATGAGATACACGGGAGATACAGCAATGAGACATGCCACGGAGGATGACTCCCGACAGCACTTTATATGGAAAACTGGTTTTTCTTGTTGTAATCAAAGAACCCACCAAAGAATATAATAAATTTGTTATACCAGAAAATTTTGAAGCTGAAAATACGCCTCTGAACAATGCAGAAATGAATTCATTATATATCTGGTTATTTAATAACAAGTATAGAACAAACCTCAAAAACCTGTAACAAATGTATAAATGATCTTGATACTTTTTATTACTATGAAATTATATAATTATTATGCATATAAAAAAGTTTTAAACTTGTAAAAAATTCTATTAAATCTTTTTTATCATACAATAATGCAATATAGGTATAAATATGATAATTTTTATTTGGTTGGTTATTATATTTAAGTACTTCAATATAATATAAGCTTCGATGTTAAAATTTTTACGTAGTGAAATAACAAAATAACACATAAAAGACACATCTCTACTCTGGTGAGCGTAAGAACAAACTACTGTAACTTTATTTTATTTAAAGAAAAAAAATGGATAGTTTTTACAGTGTAAAGACGGGACGTTAAATAAGAATACGAAAGGAATATTAATAATAAAACCCTCGAAAGCTTTCCCGGGAGAGAGGAGAAGAGTTAAATCAGGCCAACACCCACGTTTACCTTTGCGTGTTGCGTAAGCACGCGTACGTTGTACATACAAACATTAATTAAATCCTATCCATTTAGCAAATACGGTAGTAGTTTTGACAAGCCAAATATCTATTTCATTAATTACTGACTGATTTCTTACGTTTGCTTTAAAATAACGTTTAGAATTTCGATCTAGAAGTTTTTCTAATAAGTAAATAAAATTAATTTTTTATTTAAAAATACTAATGCTAGAGATTTAAAACTTATCGAACCCGTGAGATTCATCCATCTGTCATATTCTTGAATAAAAAAAAACAAATAAAATGCTTTATTAAACTGAAATAATCGTCATTTCATAATGTAAACCCATAGGCCACGTGATGACATTGGATAGAACATGACAACGATGACTCCTGTGTCGCTACTCTGATAATCCAGGTACTCTATGAGTACGTTCGTAAATTCGAACGAGTTAAACGAGAATGTTAAACGAGTTAAACGAGAACATATCTAAAGTGTAAGAATAATGACCTGCCATCTATCTCGAATACTTCGAATTATTTAAACGTATTTCGAGAAATCGTAAATCTAAATATATAAAATTACTTGTCCTGACTGACTGAGTCACTGATTGACTCATCATCGCCCAGAGCAAACTGCTGAACCTAAAGAGGTGAAATTTGATAGACAGTTAGGGTACGTCATGAAAACGCACACTAAGAAGGGATTTTTCAAAATTCCCCCCAGGGGGAGACGGAGAGGATTAACGCTTAACTGGAAAAACGGCTTCTACTGTACTATTTTAGATGCGATTTTTTGTTACGTTTAGTCTTTATTAAGTACTTAAGTGTATTAAATTAATAACATTTCAGACATTGTTATAAATATTTTTATATATTTCGATTTTTTAACGAAATGTTCGAACCTTTTTAAATTATAGAACGATTGTAAACGTTCCAAAAATTGATCAAGTTCACAATAGTTCGTTTGACTGGATGTAAAAATTCTCTGAAACGAAGGACCTAATTCTTGCATTCTGTCAAAACGGGTAAGATTGGCTATAATGTAATTATCTTAATTTTCACTATCGTTACTTTTTGCCCACAAATAAAAACCCAGCGAAGCGGGTCCTTGCAGCTAGTAAGAAATATTTTTAATAAGAAGTTTGCTTACATTCTTACAAAATAACAATAAAATATAATTATCATAATAATAGATCCAATTCGATGTCTAATTAATTAAAGTATAAATATTAAAAACAAAATTTTTATCGAAAATAAATAAATCGAAACATTTTTGATATACTTCAATACAAACATTTAATAACTTATTCGTTTGTTAAACGATTAGCGTGAAAATGGAGTTCCTTTTTCATTTAGATATTTTCTATTATAAATGTGAAGGGGCTCAGTCTAGTTATAATTCGAAAAAGACCTGACCACTAATTTTCGCTTTAGACCCTGGCATATGACTACCTCATTAACTAGGAGTAATGAAAATGCAAAATAGATGTTCGATTGGATAAACAATAATATAGTTGTTGTTGTCGAAACCGTGTTGTTATTTATGTTTGTATACTGGCACAATGAAGTGACCTTCTTTATCAACACTTGGCAAGTTTTCAATCTAACTGAATAAAGATTGAAAACTTGCCAGGTGTTGATAAAGAAGGTCACTTCATTGTGCCAGTATACAAAAATAATATAGTTTCCATAACAATCTCTAACTCGGTAGAATTCATTCTAGCCAAGGATGATAAAAATGTAAAAGTAAATGTGAAACAGGGATTCGAGTTTCATATTACTAAACACTGTGGCCACAAATTACTTTCTTTATTAATTCCTACAGATTCTTTGATAAATTCACCATCATTATCATTTCAATATGGATATTTATTATTATACAAGAGGAAAAAAATTCTAAAACTTACTTATACATGGTGTTTGGAATAAAACATATCCTTGTTTAAAACAGGCAGGGAATAAAGCAGCATCATTCAAATGACCACAAAATAACAAATACTATTGTAAATTTTTTATAGTAAGTAACAAAATAACAATACCATTCTGTGAAAAAAATTTTATAAAATGTCATTGTATTAATTGTAATAAATAAATATTTTCTTAGAAACTATAGTAAAATGTTGTATTTTTATAAAAATCAATATTGTAACCTCTATTCATGGTGTTATGTTTTAAAATATCAAAGGCTACAAAAGAAATATATTGCTGATAATTCACATAGTTTATTAGTATATATGTTACCGCTAAAGCTCGAAAGTCGTTAATGTGTACATTACCTAGCTAATCTGCAGATTAACTAGGGTGATCCGTTAAAGTTGCTAAAATTGTTCCATTTCTCAAATTACCTAGATAATGTGCAGAGTATCTAGGTAATCCGCACATTACCTACTAGGCACTCGGTAAAGTGAAAATAAGATCTTTGTCACAAATAAATGTACCACAAATAGGTGTTCTTGTCGCAAAAACCAATTGCTATGAAATTCAAAGTGTCACCAATCTTTAGACTTCACTAATAAGTAAGCACAATTGGATAATGTTAGAGGAGAAAGTGGTATTATGGAACACTGCGGGTATTATGGAATCACCCCATTTCGAACTGATAATAAAGGCGAACTGTAGCAGAATGTGGCTGAACTGAACTAGGCAGACATCCATAGCGAGGGGAAAACCCGTTTTACTTCAGTTAAACGGTTGTTAGTATTTAATCAGCAAATTTGTTTCTTTTCAAAATTCGCAAGTTTTGAATGCTAAGTGAATTTAATTATTTTTAAAATATAAATCGTGTAGTTGTAGGTTCACTGGTGCATGTATTCCGTTCCTGAGACTTAGGGGTACATATTAATCTGTGTGATTTTCACGTTTTTAAAGTTTGGTGCCGACAGGAATTAAGTTAACCCAAGATGGAGATGCGTGAAATATGAATCGTATTGGTGCTTTTAATATGGAACCCAACTTCCCTGGTGTTCAGTATTACCAACAAATTCAAACCATAAAATAATGTTTTTACGTTTTATTTTATTCATGAAAACATTTTTTTAATTTAAATACTATTTTAACAAGAAATAAAATGTAAGATAACAATCGAAATAAACATTTTTTTTTCAATGAAAAAAAAAATATCGTCTGCTTACAAAAGAGCGAAACTGAGCATGCGAGAAGTGACAGTATCGCCTGGTAAAGTAAATAGTCTACAAGTAAATTCGAGCTTTTATGTTTATTTATTTGAAAAATAACAATAAATGTAGCAGTTGTGATAAATGGGCACACTGTTCTTGTGCCAATATTGAAGTGATGATGACTCTATTGATATCTCCTCATCTGTTGAATTTCCTTTTGACTTGCCTGATGAGGAGACACCTGGTTTTAAAGATGACACTGCTTGTCTGTTTTGTGATGGGTTGTTTGCAGATGATAGTCATGGGGAGGTGTGGGTGCAATGCCTAATGTGCGCTACGTGGGCACATAAAGATTGTGCTAATGTTGAAACGGAGCATTATATTTGTGATTTTTGTAAATGATTAGCTTCTTCTTTGTACATTTCTTTATTATTATTATTATTATTATTATTAAATCATTTTTGCGTTAAAATACATTGGAGTAAATGATTTTGTAATTATTTAACTTGCATTGTACTGTCCTATTTGTTTTTGGTTACATTAAAGCATTTTTTGAAAATATACAGTAAGGTTCCATATTACAACCCGATTTTCTCTAAGCCTACTTTCTGACTTTTTGTACAACAGCCTTCAAAAACCATACTTAGGGGAAATCGGGGCAACTTCGGCATGCGGGGCAAGTTTGTCTAGCGCTTTTTTTTAAAAACAAATTAAAAGGAGACTTTGGTTATAGGTTAGGCAGTTGAGTTTTATTGGTGGCTTGTTGAGTGTAGTGTTTTTATTGTTCTCCAACAAGCGTAGTTGAATTATCAAGCAAATTTTCATTTTCGTTCAATTCCATATAATATTTTTTTTCCATCTATATTGAATTGGCAGGTTTTGTTATAATTCCATGATAACGAAAGTTACTTTTCCTGTTAGAAGGATGTAACTTCAACTTATTCACGTGGCCAGATCGTGGCTTGGCATTCTGTTCTCAGGGTTGTACTTAATGTTTCGAAATCATGACTAGCGGGGTAAGATCGGCAACATAAAGCCACATTAGGCGCAAAGGATAAAAATCAAATAGATGATAAATGAAAACATGTTTGCATTTGTTATTCATGTATATATGTCTTTGAACTTGCATTTCGTTGTAATAATATTAAATGGGTGTTGGATTTGTATTTCTTTGTTTTAATAGTGAATTCCAACTTATACGTTGTTAATAACATAATTTTATATACGTGCCTATCTTGCCCCATTACTGTTGCCCCTATACCAGGGGCAACTTTAATAAAAATAATTAAAATAATTACAACTTTACAAAAAGAGAGAAGTTGCCGATCTTGCCCCTATACCCGGGGCAACTTCGTCAATTTCTCTCTTCTTGTAAAGTTGTAATTATTTTAATTATTTTTATTTCCAAACTGATTTTAACCAGGTGTATAGTAAGGTAACATTCCAATAGACAATATGCAAAGCTTTTTTTTCAGTTTACAGCAGTATTTATTACACAAAATTTAAGTAAAGCTTAACATGCCGATCTTGCCCCGATCTCCCCTATACTTACACTAGCGAAAAATGCAATTAGGAACATTTAGTTTAATAGTTACCAGTACTTTTCCCACAAGAAATGTGGGTTTAGTTATGATACCTTGTTTACAATTCACTAAAATGTAATTGGGGTTCCATAATACCACCTTCTGTTCTACCTATGGTGAGTAAAATGGCGGCTCGTCTCTGATTCCAGCAAAGAGAAGAAAGGAAACTGTGGGGACGCACATTTAAACCTAACCTAACCTAACCTATTCTAATAATTTGGTTGGTAATAATTATGGTAATTTATTATAATCGGTTAGGTTAGAATGTGCATCCCCACTGTTTCCTTTCTTCTGTTTGCTGGAATCAGAGACGAGCCGTCATCTTACTCACCATAGGTAACATTAACTATACAATTATATCATGCGATCACCAGAAAAAGTATGATAACTTTATTATTTTTCGTTTCCGGTCCAAAAGTAGGGTATCGTCGAAGTCGTCTCGGTCCCCTCAGTTCAGATAGATACTCAAAGTCCCGAAATTCCATATAATAATTTCCTAATTGTATTAATACTTTAAACCGTTTGATTTTTGTATGTTTTTTAATTAGTTGATGATTGATTTTATCAACTAATTTGTTGATTGTTTGATTGAATTAACTTGATTCTTTAGATATCCAAAATTAAATAAACAACATTATGTTAATTTAAGCGTACAGAAACGTTGCTGTTGTTTCAGCAAAGATCTTATTTTCACTTTACCGAGTGCCTAGTAGGTAATTTGCAGATTACCTAGATAATCTGCACATTACCTAGGTAATTTGAGAAATAGAACAATTTTAGGAACTTTAACGGATCACCCTAGTTAATGTGCAGATTAGCTAGGTAATGTACACATTAACGACTTTCGAGCTTTAGCGGTAACATATATACTTTATGATACTTGTAACATTGCCAATAATATGATAGAAAAATTAAATAAAATTGAAGAAGAAGAAGAAGAAGATCAGACCTTTATTTTTATATTCCAAATTGTATCAGAGCTTTACATTAAATTACTATACAAATTAAAAAGTATAATCCAAACGTATCGAACCCATACTACTGACATTCTGCACGATAATATAGCTAACAAGAAGTAGAAAATTTTGGTACATGTTTAAAACCCTCAAATTTAACATTTGATATTTTAACACAAAAACGTTTCATAATAAATATGATAGCCTCTTAAAATTTACAAGACAAGCAATGACAACGAAAACCACTTAACTTCTTCTTCTAATGAATTCAACACTCTAATGAAGATCATTCTTAACTCGTAATGTAAGTTATATTTGACAACTTGCAACTGACCTTCCCGGGTAGTCACGAATATTTTCTATTGGGTTCGATCTGGAGGTCTGCCAGGTCAGTTCATTCTACGAATGTTTTTGCTTTGTAGGAAATTATCAATAACTTGAGCCATGGGAAGTCACTGTTAATGACAATTGTGAGTAAAGTGAAGACAACAATTTCTCAATAAAGCACAGCAGGAAATGGAATGTTATCTCTGCACCGTACAGCATTCAAAGTTTCTCTGTTAAACACATAAAGGGCTGCGCAGCCATTTAGCATAATCCCTTCTTACACCATAAATCTGCCAACTTCAAAGATGTCGCCTCTCTCTGATGTGGAAAGAGATATAGAGGGTTCCTTGTTCCTTCTAGAAGAAATCAGACTGCAAATAGAATCTCAACTCCTCTGTAAAAAGTACAAATTTACAGAAATTCATACGATGACTCCTGTGACAAAAGATAACACACATGCAAACCATGGGTCTTCTGGCATAAAAGCATACATCACGAATCTTACTGTATACCCCAATGACTGCGGAGAGCTCTGAACACAACTGGCAGTGCATTGCCTGGAGGTACATTTTGTGCCACCTCATGATTGAAACTAAATAATGGTCATGAATTGGCATTGTTACCTTAAGGTCTTCTCGAAGCATTACCAATCTTGGTATAATACTGCTGCATCCAAGAAACCTCTCTGGCATGAATATTCAATGCCTTTGAGATCCAGGCTTGAAACTCCAGCTTCGAATCGTCAAATGCTTTTCCATTGGTTTGAGTCTAGTACACTTGTGTGAGGTCCACAAGGTAAGAAATCGTATAGAGTATATTTTTCAATCTCTAACAATGACAAATATCTATCGTCTTCAGTTTGGTTTTATTTGTGTGTACTGCAATGAAATACATGGGCAATCTGCCAAGAATAATGCCTTTCCGGAGGTCTTATATGGGACTCTATCTAAGTAATACTAAAGTGTAGAAACCTCGAAAACTGTACTTCACCAGCTGGTTTGTTGACGACGACTGACTATTAGTGCTTACTGGTTTTAAGATTTGAACAAATAATAACTTGTGAAAAAAAAATGGATTTCCTGTTTAATTTAGTAAAATAGGCGATTTAAACTAATTAAGAAAACATTGTATGGCTTTGCGATCAACTCTTAATAATGATATTATTAGTGACATTGAAAGAAACGGATTCTGAAAAAATTTAGTTTACAAAAAGTTTACTTTCAGAAAACTCAATTTGTCTTAAGAAACACTAACATTTTTAAACGCAAGCAATTTGCAAAATATAACTACAAATAGGTGTAACAATGAGAATTTCACTGGAAATTCCTGTAATGGTAGCAACAGCTAAAAGAAATTTTAGCAATTATGACAAGTATAATACTTCGTACAGCAAACAAATATCCAATAATTTAATCACCCACTATTAATTACTTATTCAATTCTCTCTTCTACGCGTGCATTTCGGCATAACGTAAATTCTCAAGCAATCCTAAGTGTCATAAAATTTCTATGTGCTTTCATAAAAGAACTATAGGTGAAAATTCAATTCTGAGTACAAGTGCATATTCATTGTTGATAATTTTAAATACGTCCGAGTTCCGTAGATATTAATCCCTCAAAATTATAAAAACTACATATGGATAAATTATAAATGCTAGCGATCAAAAAATAAACTTCCATAATTTTTATATTTTTGGGTTTAGGACACCTGAAACATCGAGAAATGCAAAAATATTCAGGAGTAATTTCTGTAAACCATAACACAGTTACAATCGTTTCATTTGAAAATTACATAAAAAAGATAGCAAATCATGATGATCATGAGCATCTTCACACTCTCTTATTACACCAGGAACAATTGCATAAATCTTTTTCACTACTAATCTTCATTAGTTTACTTTGTTTACATCAAACACCAGCACACAATTGGACTAAACGATCATCATCAAAGATGGGCCTGAACACCAATCGTGTCTAAACAATAGAATTGTGCAGTGATTTCACAATTTTCTCTACAATAATGAATGTACAATTTGGCTGCACTTGCTGTAAATTACTAAAACCAAATCAAGACACGATTCTTCACTACAAAAAGTTGTGTATTGAATATTTAAAACACTGCCTGATCTTTTAAAGTATAGATAAGTTTTATGGATGTTTGTAAAACAGACGGTCTCCAATCGCTAAAGTGTGTGCTAAACTCAGGTTTCACCATACTACAGTAAAAGTTAATCTAATCCGGTAGGTATAGAACTAATTTTTACCGGAACACTGGTACAAAATGTAAAATAGCGCTAGATTCTGTGATCTATTTCCTGACATTTCACAACCGAACGACTGAATTCTACACCTAGCCTACATTTCTGCCCCATGTTTTTAGTGCCCCAAGTGTCCAAACAACTGCTAATTCTCGAGATATTAGCATGTCGAATTATTATTCAAAGATTTTAAATCATTGGCTAATATTCAGAGAATGCCAGATTATTGAACATTCTGAATTATTGGGTAACAAATTAACAAACTTTCACTGTATTAAATTTTTTATTAAGTTTTTTTACAATGGATTGAACATAGCTGTTTAACATGTTATTTTATTTTATTTGTAATTTCTGATAAATATTTAAAAAGTTTTTTATCGATTACAATTGCTATTTCCTTCTAACAGATCGCTGGTACAGACCTCGAACATTTGTGTATCTTAAATGATCGTAGGGTACTGATAATTAACCTCCTTACTTTTATTGTTTGCTTTTATATTTCCTTACTTTTATACAGCTGAGTAGCGGTTTATCTTATTTGGCACTTGTGCCAATGAAATTACACATTGTACACGATCTAATCAAAACTGTTTAAAAGTAGTATTGTAGTACTACACTGTGTTAACAGATGGCGCTACTTAACACCTAAACAGAAGCCAGTTTCCCATAAATATTCCTCTTGGGAGGTTGCAGATTACCCTCCTGTTACATTGCCTTAGCCCAATCATTCTTATTCTTAATCCTACTATACGCGTACAACAACATTGTATATATTCAGCAATCCACCAATCTGAAAATTATAGAGGAAGCAGCTTTCAAAACTAACCTGTAGTTTAATCTGAAATCACATTTTAAAATATTTTACTGTATTTGATACACACATTTTTGAAATTATATAAAAACTAATCTGAATTTCAAGATTTCAAAAGCGTTTTCTTTTCTTTCAGTAAAAAATTTAAATTTAGGAAATATTCAAACTGAAAGAACTAAACTACATCCTGCTTCCTAAGATTCTCTTTTTTCTCATTATATATATATATATNCCTATTCGGCCAGAATTTTTACGTACTGTACGTAAAAACGAGAACTTTATTATTTCTTTAAAATAATGTTTATATTTTAATTTTTATAATCCTTACACGAATTATGTTTATATTTTTTATGTAGTAATAATTCATCAACGTTGCTGGAACGAATCCAGAAAGAATGATAAATGATATTCCTAAATTGATTATTATGCGGATCCTTTCGCAATTTAAATGCAGCGCAATTTTAGACACGAGACATAGTCTCTGAAATCGCAATGTTATAAGTTTACAATATTGTAGTGTTATGAAAAGAAGATACATTATCATGTTAGGGTCTACTTCCCAATAGGCCTATCTCTGATACCTGTATAGTTTTTAATCAGATTGAATATACACCGCCTTCTGCAGTTTTCTGAATTCAAATTTCGCTTATTGAAACTTTTGGTTTTGGTTTCGGGTTTTTAGAGCTTCTGTGCAGAACAATTTTGTAGTTTTTTGAAGATTCCACTAACGCGCCATAATATTTTAAGCATTAATTAAGGTAAATTATTTGTGTCGCCAGTAGAAAACTTGTCTCAAATTGTGTCACAGCATTTTTTCAGTTTATAGCTTTATTTTCTTACTTGCATTTTATCTTTCTTCTCGAATTGTCGTTTCTCGTAAGCATAAAAGACAACGAAGTGAGTCGTCTCTATAAGTTGCTGATGGCAAGCAGACTAAGAGACTGTCGTTACAATAATCTTCGCATTGAAATTCACAGGCAATTCTTTTCTTTTTAAGAACAACTAGTTGTCTTAAGTGTATTTAGTGACTTCTCTTCAACTTTTTATTCTTTGAATAATATTATGAAATGAAATTCTGAAATTAAATGTCTCTAATGCTAATTTGACGTAATACATCGCATTCGAAGAAAAGAAAAAGTTTACATTGACCGTTTCTGAACAGTATATTTCGCATTAAAAAATATTTCGTTCATTATGTATCATCATGTATTACACAAGATGTAAGGGAAATTTTCAATTATTTTAGAACAGAGAAAACCGCTCTCAAAATACAGTGAAATGGCACTAAAATAATTCCAGTATACTCTCAATTATCAGGTCATGAAAAATCGCTCTATTGCTCTCTCGGTTTGCAGAATATTGGACAGTTGAAGAGAAAAAAGAATGACAAACTTTGCTGAAGTTTTCAGTTGATTTCAAGTTATTAGGTGAAATCTGTAAATAATATTGCTGTATTGGATTATCCACGCAATTTATTAATTAAGGTAACATTTTATTTATTTATCCCGGTTTATCGAGAGTTTAATGTATCTTCCGTGTATAATTTCTGATATTGCATTAAAGTATATTATACTGGGCTTAAAATAACGTTTAGAATTTCGATCTAGAAGTTTTTCTAATAAATAAACAAACTTAATTATTTATTTAATTATACTAATGCTAGAGATTTAAAACTTATCGAACACGTGAGATTCATCCATCCGTCATATTCTTGATTAAAAAAACGAATAAAATGCTTTATTAAACTGAAATAATCGTCATTTCTTACTATAAATCCATAGGCCACGTGATGACAGTGGACAGAACATGAGGACGAAGACTCCTGTGTCGCTACTCTGATAATCCAGGTACTCTGTGGGTACGTTCGTAAATTCGAACGAGGTAAACGAGAATGACGTCATCGTTATTCTTATTTTGTTAGACTTTCCGACCGATTGGTACTAACGCGTTTAACTCGTTCGACTTTACGAACGCATCCAAGTGTAAGAATAATGACCTGCCATCTATCGCGAATACTTCGAATTATTTAAACGTATTTCGAGAAATCGTAAATAAAATATATTTTTAATAAGAAGTTTGCTTACATTCACACAAAATAACAATAAAATATAATTATCATAATTGTAGATCCAATTCGATCTTAAATTAATTAAAGTATAAATATTAAAAACAAAATTTTTATCCAAAATAAATAAATCAAAACGTTTTTTATATACTTTAATACAAACATTTAATAACTTAACCGTGCAATATAAAAATTAATTTATAAAATTGATTTCATGTAACAAAGATTAATTTTCATGTGTTTGTTCCTCTTTTAATATAATTATTTTAAAAATTTATTATTCAACAAAAATTACTATACACATTATCTTAAATTATACTGTACATATTTTAATTAATAATAATTTTTACATAGAACTCCAATGACAAATTTACAAAACAATAATATCTCAATACTATTACGTTCATTCATCACAATAACTAGTACCACATAAGTTACGATTACAATCCTAATGCAAACTATTTACATTTAAAAGAAGGGTACGAATTTAAAGCAGTATTTATAAGCTTATACACATCATTTTTATCCCTAATTTTCATTAATTTACTTTGTTTATGCGAGATATCAGTGCAATTTGATCAAGACTTTTCCATGAAGTTGGCAGGCATGAATAGAAATAATGGTTAATAGCCAAACTTGCCATAAAGATTAAGATTCGAAAGGAATTCGAACCCGGTTTCTTCCGAATTATAAATTGATCTTTTTTTCCTCGCTTTTATCAATACAAAATTTCTACAAGGTATCCATGAGCAAACTGTAATGCATTGAGATTTTCTATTTCAAAACAATGTCGACACGAGAAATAGGCTAATTTTTGCATGTAGACATATTTCGAGGTACAGTTTTCTGAATAACTTGGATTTGCAGAATGGTCCGCGCGTTGTTTGAATCACACAATGCTGGAAATTGGGATCACTTAAAGAATCTCATTTATGAACATCATTTACTCATTTAAAGACTAGAATCACAGACATGTCAGGCCATGACACCCATGATCTTGCAAGATGCGTGAAGAAATTGAATCATCAACATATCACCTGAATAGTTGGGAGGTGACTTCTGGAAAATATTTTTCCTACGATCTGTACCTAATAATACAAAGATTATTATAAAGAATGGCAATTCAAGAATCACAATTTATTAGAACAATTTGAAATCGTTATTGATACGTCAATGAAAACAACATTTCAATCGTTTAATATTTTTCTGCGGAAACTTAAATAATGCCACCAATAATAGGAAGAAAAGAATAAAAAAACCGTTGGAAATAAGATTCGAGAATAATAATCAGGAGCATTCAGGGTGGTTTGCATCTTGAACATTTTCCAAATACCACAAAGTTTTTCTTTTACTTTTTCAATTTTCTCTTTAGAATTTTTACGTTTCTCAGCCCATTTTCCATTTTTCTTAACTGGACGTGGGGAATTACACTGAAAATAATTATTTACAAAATTAATTTATATATTTTAAATTAATATGCATTTAGAGTGGCCCAAAAGTAAGTTTCGTGATATGTCACTTTTATAGATGGATGGACAGCTTATTTAAATCCTGTTTATAACAACGTCATTCAATGCCATATTAAATATTAATATACCAGTTTAAGTAATTTTGAGCCCCAATAAATAAATTAAAAAATTAAGATATAAAAGTTTATCTTAACTTATAAAGAAATATAAGTCACGAAAAGTTTAAAATATGGCTGTTTTATGAAAAGAAGATAGCTCCTGATAGTTAAGAACTTGGATGTAATGTTGCCATACTGTCGACTGGTAATAATTAATTTATTTGTTATACAATAATTCGGAAAATGAAAACAAATCAGAAATGTTAACATTATAGAACACAAACAATTTACCCATATAAAAAAATTAATAATTGCCAGCAGAAATTAACGAAATGTAAGTCAAAGTTCGGCTTCTCTGCAACTCTTTTGCTGAGCGATTAGTGCAAAAAAATTAGTGTTTGCTCTTGGAATTGTGTTTGTGATGCAAATTAAGTTTTAATAATTCAAAGTTATTAAATGTAATCGTTTGATTGTTATTTTAGTGTAAATAAATAATATAAATATATTTGATGAAAAATTTAACTTTTAACAAATTCAGGTCTATATTGTTTCNGTTGGGATTGTCACCTGTGGACATTTTAAACTGTTTTACATATTCGTGCAGAGGCATAGCCTCTAAAGAAAGGTTGTCTCTGCAATGGAAATAGTTGTTCCTGGTGATTAGACATGGCAAGTAAACTTGGACTCGTATCCAGATCAATTTTATGTTTTATTAAAATGTAATTCTGCCAGCCCATTTCTACAAACAAATATCTGAGTAATATTACATTCATTCATAACAATAACTAGTACAACATAAGTTATAATTACAATCCTAAGGCAAAATATTTACATTTGAGAAAAGGATTCAAATTTAAACCAGTATTTATAAGCCCATATGCATCATTTTCATCTTTAATTTTCATTGGTTTAATTTGTTTATGCGAGATATCAATGCAATTTGATGAAGACTTTTCCATGAAGTTGGAACGCATGAATGGAAATGATATCGACAATGGTTAATAGCCGGACTTGCCATAAAGATTAAGATTGAGAAAGGAATTCGAACCCGGTTTCTTCCGCATTATAAATTCATCTTCTTTTCCTCGCTTTTATCAATATAAAATTTCTACAAAGTATTAATAAAGTCATGCACCATGGGTATATTGTAATGCAATGAGATTTTCTATTTCAAGACAATGTCGACACAAGAGAAATACGCTACTCATTACATGAAGATATATTTCCAGGTACAGTTTTCTGAATAACTTGGATTTGCAGAATGGTCCGCGCGTTGTTTCAATCTCACAATGCTGGAAATTGGGATCACTTAAAGAATCTCATTTATGAACATCATTTACTCATTTAAAGTCTAGAATCACAGACATGTTAGGCGATGACCCCCGTGATCTTGCAAGATGCGTGAAGAAATTGAATCATCAACATATCATCTGAATAGTTGGGAAGTGACTTGTGGAAAACATTTATCCTACGATCTGTACTTAATAATACAAGGATTATTATAAAGAATGGCAATTCAAGAATTACAAGTTATTAGAACAATTTGAAATCGTTATTGATACGTCAATGAAAACAACATTTCAATCGTTTAATATTTTTCTGCGGAAACTTAAATAATGCCACCAATAATTGGAAGAGAAGAATAAAAATACCGTTGGAAATAAGATTCGAGAATAATAATCAGGACTATTCAGGGTGGTTTGCATCTTGAAAATTTTCCAAATACCACAAAGTTTTCCTTTTACTTTTTCAATTTTCTCTTTAGAATTTTTACGTTTCTCAGCCCATTTTCCATTTTTCTTAACTGGACGTGGGGAATTACACTGAAAATAATTTTTTAACAAAATTAGTTTATATTTTAAATTAATATGCATTTAAAGTGGCCCAAAAGTCAGTTTCCGTGATATGTCACTTTTATAGATGGCTGGACAGCTTATTTAAATCCTGTTTATAACAACTTCATTCAATGCTATAATTAATATACAAGTTTAACTAATTTTTGAGCCCCAATAAAAAAATTAAAGAATTAAGATATAAAAGTTTATCTTAAATTATAAAGGAAAATAAGGCACGAAAAGTTTAAAATATGGCTGTTTTATGAAAAGAAGATAGCTCCTGATAGTTAAGAACTTGGATGTAATGTTGCCATACTGTCGACTGGTAATAATTAATTTATTTATTATACAATAATTCGGAAAGTGAAAACAAATCAGAAATGTTAACATTATAGAACACAAACAATTTACCCATATAAAAAATTAATAATTGCCAGCAGAAAATAACGAAATGTAAGTCAAAGTTCGCCTTCTCTGCAACTCTTTTGCTGAACGATTAGTGCAAAAAAATTAGTGTTTGCTCCTGGAATTGTGTCTGTGATGCAAATTAAGTTTTAATAATTCAAAGTTATTAAATGTAATCGTTTGATTGTTATTTTAGTGTAAATAAATAATATAAATATATTTGATGAAAAATTTAACTTTTAACAAATTCAGGTCTATATTGTCTCCAGGAGTGTGTCGTCTGGAGATGCTGTCCTTAATAAAAATATTCGCAGACAGCTAAGAGGAATAATTGCCCTTTCAGCCTCTCATTCTTTATGCATTCTTCTAAAGCAAACATATAAAAAATTAAAAAGCAATTACACGTTATAAGATTGCGTTGTTTTTTTCGTTTTTCTTTGTTACTAATAAAACAAAAGCATTTCTGTAAGTCCGCGTGTGACAAAATACGACTTTTATTTCTTCTTTAAGATTTATACAGTGTGTCATTTGGAAGACTCTATAGTGTAGCCAACGTAAAGATTAATTTTTGAGAGCTTATGTTTATGAAGCTGTACACCTTATATTTATGCCTTTGTCTTTACATTTTGTGTATATTTATTTATTTATCTTCATACCAACGCCTGAGGCCATTTATTCTAATAGACTCTTCTGTTAGGAAACACCTAACCTAACAGAAATCGATTGATAAGTAATTTATTATGCTAACAGATGGCGCTACACGTATCAATCCTATTTGAAAATTATGTGAGGTTGAGAGTGCATTGATTATACTGGGGAAGAAAATGAAAGCTTTTTTTGCACACAAGTGAAAATACCTGGTCATAATAGAATTTTTTATGCTGTTTTCAGATATATAAACAGTTTTTCTCCATTAAGTCTGGGTTTTTTGTGACAATCGGTTTAAATGTAAAATATATTTATTTAGACAACAAGCATACACTTATTTCTTTATCTTGTCTAAAATGGCGAGATGAAGAGCTTCTGCTATGTTTGAATTTGCAGAATCCCTCTTAGTGTTCAACAGTAATCAGTAAACATTCTTTAATTTCATTGGCCCTGATACCTCTTTTCCACCATCATAGAGATGTCTTGCTGAAAACGCTCTCCGTGTTTGTCACTGACAGCACCAAGATTGTCGGAGGAAGAAATCCAGGTGGGAATCCATGAAATGCATTTTAATTAAAATAAAGAAGGGCGTTTCTACTGGCTTATCGAGCAAACGAATATAAATGGACCCTTACGCGCAATTAACTGATTACCCCTGTAAGTCAGCTTCTTACAGAAACACAGATTTTCTATCATCAACTGTCACGGCACGCCACTTGATTTTACCTCTATTAAACTGATTAAAGATAATAAAGTAGTGGTATTACAAGAGTACGAAAGGGTCAAGAAAGGATGGAAAGTATATTTTAGGAATTTATTGAATGAAAAACACTTCAGAACTTTATACGAGAATGGAAAGGCAAATGAAGGAGTGGTGCAAGATATTAGCAGAGAAGAAGTGTGCTTAGGAAAACGTAGATGGGGAAAGTNTATTTTAGGAATTTATTGAATGAAAAACACTTCAGAACTTTATACGAGAATGGAAAGGCAAATGAAGGAGTGGTGCAAGATATTAGCAGAGAAGAAGTGTGCTTAGGAAAACGTAGATGGGGAAAGCAGTAAACACTGATCGGATTCCGGTTGAGGCTTGGAGAGGTTTGGGAAAGGAAGGAATTGTTATTCTCTGGAACCTTATGAAGAAACTCTGGCAGCAGGAGAAGATTCCACGGAGAAAGAGCATTCTTGTGCCTATCTTTAAAGGTAAAGGGGATGTACAGAATTGCGGAAATTACATAGGTATAAAGATATTGTCCTATACTATGAAGATTGGGAGAAAATTATAGAAAGAAAGATTAGGCAGGAATCTACACTACTGACAGTAATTTGTGCCTATTTCATAATCATTTTGATATACAGTGGTTCCTGGTATAACGTACTTAATCCGTTCCACGTGCACGTCCTTTAAGTGAAAAGTCCGTTATACGAAACGCATTTTCCCATAGAAATACATGTTAAAACATATAATTCGTTCCGCAGCATAAAATAACTGTACTGTATCATAAAATAAATGAAAATGAAACAGTCACCAATTATGCCGAGTAGTCAGATGTTGTGAGGAGGAGGTGGAGGAACACTTTCTTTACACATTCATACAGATACATACTTTTTACACAATGCAGCAGGTCTCTTTTTATTGTTATTTTTTAATAGAAGTCAGATTCAGGAGAGGCTACCAGAGCTTGCAGGGTCATTTCCTCTTCTTCCATCCTTTGTTTTTTGGCAGCTGGCTTCGTGAAAAACGTGTCCAAGGTGGTCTGTTTCTCTCTCTTCTTTGACACCTGTCAGAAATGATGGGCAATGTGTCATTGTAGAGATCATTGATCCTGTTGGCCTCAGCTCTGTTTGAATAATGAGTGTTGGTAAACTCTTTAACCTCTCCCCATTTGACAAGGAAGTTTTTGTCAACTTTCACTCCTTCTGATGTCTTGCTTTGTTTTAATTGAAATCACCTTTCTGTTTTTTTTAGAAGCCATGATTTGCACAACACATGAATAAATGTAAATACCCTGCACTGAACTGAGGTGATGTACATAATAAACAAGGGAGCGAGCCGAATCCCAACAGGAACTGTGTACTTCAGATATAATAATAATATATTTTAATAATACAGTACTAATATATTATAAAAATTGAAGATTATCATTGGCAACGGCAAAAGAGTGGAAACATCATTCGCACTTGTTCGCAGAAAGACCGTTGTTCGCAGTGTCCGTTATTCGAGGCGTACGTTATACGAGGCACCACTGTACTTCGAAAACAATCAATACATTTAAACTTACTTTTTCTTTAAATTCCACAGAGTGGTGAGCAAATGCGTATTCTATCAACGAAGCTGTGACGAAAAACATACAAGCGAGTAGCCAAATATCCATAGCTTTTACATAGTCCACTGGCGGAGTGTACGATCTAGACTGCAGCATTTGAGTGATGATGGTAAGAACAGAGGTAACACCGAGCGTAACACGAGCGGGAACTGCATTCACATCTAACCAGAATGATAGCCAGGACAGGGTTACTACTACAGTACTTGGCAAGTAAACATTGAGTATACTACCCGTTAAACGCCGAATGAATATAAATTTCGCATACAGATAACTGTAATTACCTGTAAACAAAAATAATTATCTCTATAAAACTAATAATAATACAGTTTTATAAGTAATTTGTAAGAAAACTTTCCACTCGTCCAAACTTCGATTTTGCTACGAGGTTTGGGTAACTTCATCTCGTGTTTCAATGGCTGTATGTCTTCCAATAGATAAATACTTGGCCCATAGTGCTTACATGGACTATCGTCAACATCACACCATTCCAGGCGTACCTTTTCCGCAGTATTTTTTACTAAAAAATTGAATAATAGACAGGGAATACCATTAGTATAGAACACAAATATGGAATTTTCAAATAAAATTTTATATAAGTACTATAAATATATTATTGTACTTATTCAACTACATATTAGTTTACTGCGAGAAAAATTCTACTAGAAAATATTCAATTTGTTGACTTGATAAGTTTAAATATATATATTCGGAATTATAATAAAATATACAACTGAATTAAATTCATAACAATAACAGAATATAATACAAAAAATTTAGTATTAAAGCTTGTTTTAAAAATAATACTTGACTTTCTCATATCTTCAATTGAAATCTATAACAATAAATTCAGGTATAAAAGTTGCAAGTCGAAAGTACTGTATATTGCAAGACACTTGTACAATAAAATAGATTCCTGTTGTTCAGGGCAACATTAATGTTTATGTGTTAATCTCGAAAAAATGTACGATTAACACATAAATATTACACTTTTAATGACTCAAATATATGGCATTTTATAATACAGTAAATACAAATAACCCAATAATTCTTTTAAATATCAAACGAAAAGCTGAACTCGTTTATTGGGCTATTAATGTTAAATAATTACTAAGCAATTTGGTAGGAGGTATGACTCCGGGGCCGCCTATTACATTTAACAAGAGATGGTGGTCTTGCAGCCTGCCACCTGCCAAATTACATAATAAATATTTAGCTTTAATTGCAATTAGAGAAATATAACTGTTCGTATTATATATGGCTTTCTCCATATATTTTAAAATATCTGTGCCCGGCGTTTATATAATGTATTTCGTTGTCACTAGTCCACATTATCATGATTCATAGTAAATACACGTTAAATTAATTATTAAATTTACTTACACAAACCAATTTTAAATACGCAGTCTTGAATATCAAGAGGATAACGATGTAAATCCATAGGGCATGCCACACGAAAGCTATATCTATTGGAAGAAAAATTATGTATTTATCATTTTGAATAATAAAATTTATTACTTCTTTTAGTTGAAGCTTC